TTGAATCCCATGAGATTGAAGACAGCCTTTAATCAGGTGCTCTAACCACCAGGCAAAAGGAGGGTGCCATCGCTCTTCAAAAGTCAGGTGTTGTGCTTTAAGTTGCTGTCAGTTTGTCATCCTGGTTACTTATAGGTACCTCACTTCCTGGTGCTCTAGATCCCAAGGAGACAGAGACCTATATGATGCTTTGATTTTGACATCTGAGGAGGAGTGGAAATTTAGAGACACCGCTGTACCTAACATTCCCGCTAGCTTGCTGCAAATACATCCTTCCTCAGTACTTGGGCTCTCTGAATTACACTTAAGAGATGCCCATTCCCTGTATAAAGATCCCAGGTTCCTAACCCTGTTGACCTGAACAACCCCTCTAGGGCAATGTACCTAAATTTTGGATGCTGCAACACCAGAGCTGAGACTGGTTTGCATCTGACTATATGTGGAAATAACTGCTAGGAAGAGCAAATCCTTAGATTATGAACTGTTTAAGCAGAGATTTTTTTTTTATACATCTGTAAAGCACCAAGGGCAACTGTAATACTGTATAATGAATCTAAAAATATAGCAATAACATGTATGATAATTAATAGCACTGTCTCAGCCAATTGGGATTTGTTGTAATATATGCATATCCGATTGTTACTTGAGACAAATAGTTTATATTTTGTCTTCCGGCTGTGATATGCTTCCATTTGTGAAAATCCTGCCTAATCCTCCCATTACCAGACATTTATGCTTTCTAAAACAAGTTGCTGTTCATTACTTGTAGAAGAAACCCATTATTGGGGGGTTTCAAACAAGAATTTTTATTATTCTGAGTCTTTTGAGAACCTTTCATTTTTCCACTTGCTTTTCAAAAAAATATCTGGTTTATTTTCAAGTCCTTGGTGTATCTTCTCCTGTGTCACCTTATGCAGCAGCATGAGACTAGCTGTATGTTGTCCTCAGATAACCTGAAGCCACTCAGGGCCCCTGGCAGTCTATATTTCATAACAGATGCATTCAGGTGCCTTGGCTGTCCAGAGAGGTTTAAAAAGCATTTCCTTCCTGTTACTGAGCAGATGTCCAGGGGAGAGATTTAGCACAGAACTGGGAAAGCCTCGTCTATACTACAGAGTTTTGCTGGCAGAACTTTGAGCAAGTTCCAAAGCCCTTTAGTGGTGATTAAACCTTGCATTCTGCTGGCAGAAGTGCTCTGCTTCTGCCATTGTCTGGGAGCTGACAGAAGGTATGTTTAGATACTTCTGTACCTTCTACCTTCTGCCAGGGTCCCTTCAGAAATTGGGGCCTTCCCAGGATGCACCGTGTGCTCAGGTGATATAGCTGCTAAGTGGAACCATTTGGAGCCATCAAAAGCACTTGGATGCTTGCACTTATCTTTAAACCTTGTTGCTTATTTATCCTTGTTACCATTCCTGATGACCTAAAAATCCACATCTTTGGTGTTTGTGGCTCTTGGTGTCAGCAAAAAGAAATGTATAATGCTGCCAGTCTTCTTGAGATATTCTTTTATAGAGGTAAGAGTATAATTGCCATCATTAGTCTTCGTTGTCACTGCTATGAGAACAATTGTACAGTGCAAATGTTAACATACATTTCTATACACAATTTGGCCAAAATAATTTTCAGGTGACAAATCCTGACCTTACAGGCATTGTAATTCCCTGCTTTTCCACTACACATTATGTTTTTGTGTTTTCATGGCTATTCTGAAAGTAAAGGCAATAATGCTCAGTGTTCCATGAGTCTGTTTTAGTGCCCTTTAAATGACCTCTGATGCTGCCTGGGTCATTAGATTCAATATACTAATGTATCCACCTAATAGTTTCATAGACCCACTGCTCCTGAGCCTGTCCATTCAAAACACCCTTGATTACATCAGCAGTTTGCTGATGGTCTATAATATAATGGCATGGCTCCAGATTATGGAGTGTTCACGTCTGTATGCAGAAAATTGGGAGGATCCATAAACTTTTCATTAGGATATACTTAAGTCACAAGAAGATGTTTGATGAATTTCCGAGGCAGGGAACTTGCACTTGATCTACCCTGTTCTTGTCAGTCATTTTGAATTACTAGAGAGCTAATTCAGTTAGCTAAAACTGTCAAACAATATATCTGACTCTATTAAAATACCATATTTCACAGTGTATAAATTGAGTTTTGAAGCCCAATTCTTAACTCTTAAAATTCAACCTTGACTTTATACACTGTATCACCATCCCCTGTGAGTGGTGCCAGGCTCCATGATCAGGTGGCACAGCCCAGACAGCACCACTCACAGGGGATGGGGGTGTACCAGCTGAACGCCGAGCCTGGCCCTGTCTGCTGCAAGCAGTGCTGCCAAACTCTAAGCCCAGCCTTATTCCCTGTGAGTGGCACCAGGCTTAGCACTCAGCTGGTGCAGCTGGACTCGTCACTCAGCAGCGCCGCTCACAGTGGATGGGGCTAGGCTCTGTGCCCAGCTGGCACAACTTAGGCAGCACCATTCACAGGGGATGGGGGCATGCCAGCCTAGTGCCCAGTCCAGCATAGCTCAAAGAGGATGGGGATGGGAACAGGGGTGGGGCAAGGCTCAGCGCTTGCCTGGCATAGCCCCATCCCCTGTGAGCACCACTGCCTGGGCTGTGCCAGCCAAGCAGGGGCCAGTATAAGTTGACTCCATATTTCTGGTCCAAAAAGTTAGGTCAATTTATGCACCAGATCTAGACATTCTGGACTTTTTGGATCAGAAAAATGGGGTTGATTTATACAGTGTATCGACATATACACCAGGAAATACAGTAAATGGCATTCAAGACCCGTTGGATCTTTGTACCTAGAAACTAACAATAGGAATATCTGGAAAAAATGCCTCCTGAAATGGTTGTGCAGTATATTTTTAACAGCAGTAAATACTAGAAATTGGATCCACCATATTTCAGAGCAGAGTAAACAACAGTGAACCATTTTTTTCTTTTGGCGCTTATACAGACTATCAGAGAAGTAATGTTCTTTTCCCAAACTGCCTAACTGTGGGTGTGTCTACACGTTCATTAATGTGCCTTTGCTACTGCGCATTAAGTTTAGTACTGTAATATGAGGTACTAGATAAAGGTACAGTAGCCACACTAATGCACAGTAGCTGCACTAATGCGCAGTGGCAATTTTTGTGATGCTTAATACGCAGTAGACTAATTCTACTGCATATTAGCACTTTTTTGCCGTGACATATTAATGTGCAGTAGAACAGTCCACTGCATATTAAGGCTCTTATGCACCCCAGGGCCATCCTTTGCGGGGGTGTATCAGGGTGACTGCCCTGAGCCCTGCACTTTGGGGGCCCTGCAGGACCAGGTGGAGTGGTCGTGTTGATTCTGTGCCACCACCGCCGGCTTTGCGTCCGGCCACTCGGCACCCCTCACCCCCCACCGCCAAATCTCTCACTGGCTTCCCTGCTCAGGTCATCTCTGTGTGCCCTATATTTCTACATGAAAGATCATTAAGAATTCAAAGAAATACTTATGGTTTATATAAATACTTTAAAAATGTGTTATGTGTATTTAGACAGTTAGAATATTATTTTGATTAAACATAACTATTTATTAAAATATTATTTTAAACCATACTCCCTGTGTGCGTATATGCAAACATTTCCATTTCTCTCTTTATATATATGCTTACACAGATACTTCTCTCTCATACAATATAGTGGAACCAATTTATAGTGAAGTCAGGGTTGTCAGTGACTTTGCTGCTGACCTTATTATGCTGCTTTTGTAGAAAACCTTCCTGGTTAGAGAACACAGCACCTTCCATTCAAATGGACCACACGGAAGGCCCACCCTTAATTTGTTGTCTGATTTAGCCTCAAGGGAAAGTCCTCCTAACTATAGAGCAGGGGGGAGAGGCTGTTTCTCTTCAGAACAACAACTCAGTGGTGCTGTGGCATATACTGTACACTTAATCTAAGACACATTTTGTAAAAAACCTCAAGTTATATCCAACATATGGTAGAAGATCATAATGTTAAGACTTTAAGTTGAACCAGATATACAGTTGGAGGTGGATCTATCATAATCTGGCAACGTTTTCTTTTACTGGTCAACTTTAACAAGTGTAGAAAGGAATTAAAACACAGAGCACAAACTTCAATGATGTGCTGGAGGGGCACTGTGAGGACTGCGAGGAGCCCTGTATTAAAATTCTGCCACCAGGCTGACAGGGAGCTTAGGATGATTCTCCACCTCTGATGTAGCTCAGAGCTCAGTCTCCTTGTAGCCCAATCCTGTTAAACAAGCCCTGCATGAAATGGGCTCAAAATACAGCTGAAACACAATATTTTGGGTTCAGTCCAATTGCACCAAATATCAGGTGTTTAAATAAAATAATTCCTTGGAGAGGCCACCAAAAGTGTTGCTATGCCCCTTTCCCTTGCTTCATTTTCTACAGTTTGAACAACACACTATAATTTGAGCCTACTTTTCATTCCTATAGAGACCCTTTACTGTGCACGGTAAAGTTCCTTTAAAGTGGGTGGGTCCTCTGTGCCTTTTTCAAAAACATTACCATCATGTGTACTTAATATGGGTTTAATCATCACATGGTTCTGCCTCTCCTCCCCTTTTCTCTGATTACCAGCAGCATTTTGCCTAAGTGGGAAAATACATAGATTGCCCTGTCTACCACCTGTCCTCTTCCACACTCCTGGGACATGGGAACTGATTACAGGAGAAAAAGAAAATGTTTACAAGAGCTCCTTGTTCAAATATTAAGGACACTTCATTAATAAAATGTGTTACCTTTCTGAATTGGACTGGGAGAAAAAGTAAAACAAATCAAGCTAAAGAAACAGGTGCAAAACTGGAGTGCAAAACAAGCAAACAGTTTTAGAGGAGCATATTTACCTAGAATCTCAACTATACAATTACTAAATGATAATGTTATTGGCCCCAATCCTACAAAAACACATAAAACTGCCCAAATCAGTGGGCCATTTCATCAGAATAGTATTCCACATACAGAGCTGTCTCTAGGGGTGTGCAGGGTCTGGGGCATATAAGCCTGTGTGGGGCCTGGGGGTGAAGGGGGCGACCACCCGCAGAAACCAGTGGCAGTGTTGGCAGCAGTGGGGTGACTTGCAGAAGCTGCCAGCGGCATTGGGAAGGGGGTGGCAACCACCTGCAGAAGTTGCTGCTGCTGGCGGGGCTGCAGCAGGGTCTGTATGACACTGTTCACAAGGCCCCCCAAAGTGCGGGACCCAGGGCGGTTGCCCCAATTCGCTCCCCGCTAGGGACGGCTCTGTCCACATATGATTGAGAATTTTTAGGATCAGGGATTATGCCTTAAAATTAGAAATGGCTCCCACATGCTGAATTTGCAAAGCCTCCAGTGTTGTGCTACAAACATGGTTTTAGCCAGGATGAACCTCAGATCTGGATTACAAATGGTTTCAAATGTTGTAATAGTTCAGGATGTCTGGGCCAAACTCTTCTACTTTAATTTGGGCCCAGTTTTCTTTAAAGTGTAAAAAAAAACCCCACTTGCTTGCAGGGAATCAGAAGGTCCATATACTACAAAATATATTATTCTGGACAGATTACAAAGAAATAATTAACAGGTGTGATATTCCTGAAAAAAAACACCTTTTCCCAGCTTCTCTTTTAGACAGTCTTCATGATTAGAATATGTTTAAAGAAAATATAGCTGTAAGTGTTCTTTCTCCTTATATTACTGTATTTATTTCTAATTAATAAGGATGTTTTTATATTTCTAAATGTTTCTTCTTAAATACTGAACTAAACATTTGGGGCCAAGTGCTTAAAAACTATTTTATGAAATAAAAGGATTTAAAAAAAACCCACAGAAAGGTATGTCCAGTTGTTGCATGGTTTTACCCAACCCTGCTCACAACACATAGTGAAATGAACAGTGTATATTTACCCCTTCAAAACCATTACAAATTCCATCCTCTCAACAGCTGGTGTGTAAGTGCATGTGTGGGCACACTGGTGCACGTGCACACTCATACACACACACACACACACACACACACACACACAAAATGCCTTCTGGAAGGCATTCTGTTGTCAGACTTAAATGGTTTGGCTATATTTGACTGTTTTGTTAGGACCAACATATTGAAGCAAATATCTGACACTGGGCTGAAAGTGATTTTTCTACAATGGAAAAGAGAAGCTGTAAAAATGACATCTCCTGCCAAAAGAAATTCACCCACATTGTCCATAAATGATGATGATTATTCCGTTTTTCCCCTCCAGTGGTTCTCTAAAATATGATAGCCATGGATCTTAAGACTAGGTTCTCATAATTACTTTTATATGGGGACTTGTATGAGTATCATAGAATCATAGAAAAAAAACTGGAAGGCACCTCCAGAGGTCATCTAGTCCAATCCCCTGCCTGAGGGGATCATCCCTATATGGACATGTTCTATGTGTTATGTGAAAGAAATACTGGTAATTACAAATTTAAAAAATCATGATAACTTCATTGAAGAAATGGCCAGATTCCATCTTCCTAGGCTGGTCTCTGGTAGCCTCTCACTCTAATGTGACCTACTCAGAAAGCTATCAGACTCACATAGCTCTAGATAAGATTTCAGTGAGGGGCCAAGCTGCTCCCCATTGCACAGTAGCTTTGTAATTCTCCTATGTGACCGTGTACCTGGAGGTTTACTTTACTGCTACTACATGTTGGCCTAAGGGCCCTGTGTGAACGTAAACTAGGAAGGTGGATTTTTCTGATGTTTATAAATTACTTAAAATATATTTGTATTTATAAGGACTTATCCTAGACATTTCTGTGAGCAGGTGCGTATTTGCCAAAGCTGAAATTGTATCCTACCTCTATTTTATTGCATGCTTTGGAAACTAAACAGGTTTCAGTTATATTAATAGGTATAAGACAGAACCAGCCCATAATAAAAGACAGAAAAATCCCTAATCCAGTGAAATACCACTGGTATAGAGTGAAGATAGCACAAACTTTTTAAATTATGAAAGATATTATTTAAAAGTAACCTTGAAATAGATTTCTTCAAAATGGACTTTGTCATATATTCTTTATTTATAATGCATGAGAGAATTCTAAAAATATTTTTCTGTAATATTAAGCCTGATTCTCACCGAATTTGCTAAAGAACTTCCTAGAACTCTGAGGCTGGGTACATTGAGATCTCAGACCTTTATTAGAGGGAGAATGACGGTGGATATTTAAGACATTCTTTCTCCAAAGTGTTTATTATGCATCAGGATATAATTAATTGTGTTTCTGTTTTCTTATACCTCAACAAAAAACTTTCAGACTTCTTAACTACATCACAAGATACAAAAAGCACAAATTCATTTTACATTTTCTTTGCAGGTTATCTTATAATAAAAATATTAAGACCCTTTAAATAAAACTGAATAGGTGGAAACACTTAGAATATTGACTATCAGAATACTGTTATCAAGAAACCGGGCAGATTTTTTTCTTTTAATTCTTTCTTCCTTTTAGAGTAGATATTTTGGGACTTGATTTATTACTAAGTAACAATGGCATAAACCTTGTGGTACTCTAGTGAAGTTCCCAGAATTATGTTAGTAAAGGTAGAATACAGAAGAAGGGAATCTGTATAATTTTGTCTTACATAAAAGAGGTTAGAAGAAGACACAATAGTGTTCTCTTGTATTAAGGTGAAACCTTTAAAATTATTTAATCTGTAAGAATCCTCTTGTGAAAATCTTTAATAACATAAGCAGCAATCAGGTGAAAGTTGCCTAATTTTTTGGTTAAAAGCCTTTTCATTATTTCATATTGGTTTGATGTATTTTTTGCTTCTCTCATTTGGATAGAGAAATATCTGCCAGTGGCCCTTGCAGATGTCCAGGTTGATCAGTGTTCCATTGTGCTAGGCACTGTACAAAAGCATAGTAAAAGACAGTCTTTGATGTTAATGCAAATTTAAGACCAGACACAAATTAAGTGTATAATGAATCTGAATTGAAAGCAGATCAGAGCAGAATGACTAATTGTAGCTGAGCTGTTCCTCTACTTGATAGAATATTTAATTTCCAGGGGAAATATAGAGAGATTTTTTTCAGTGTCCTGCAACCTCATAGTTTTTTGTCCTATTTTCAATAATCCACTGATTGAATCATTTCCACTGCTGGGTTTTCTCTGTCTACTAATATGAAAACACCGGGGAAAACAATGTTTGCAGCTGCCCAAAGGAACAGTTTAGTTTTTTTTTTTACATTTATTTTCACACTTTCAAGCCTTCCTACTGTACTCATTTTTGGTAGTTTGTTACACTTTTCTAAAGCCATGTGCTTCAAGGATGCCAAAACACATTGATTAACTTTGAAACTTGGATTACATGCAACAGATCTCTGAAAAAAAATATATACCAGCTTTCTGGTTATAATTGTGCTGTAAAAATATAATTAACATATTGAATAAATGGTACACAAATTCTGCAGTGCACAGGATGTTTGGATAAGCACGTGTCTGACCTTGGGTGGGGGGTATATTTTTAGAAACATTAATACTTACATTTATGCCAAGCCAAGCTCATGATCCTATAGCTAAACTGTTGCTGAGGAGAGGTAAACTTTTAAGAGCTCTGAGATTTTGCTGAAAAAACAGATTGAGGAAGAAAGGTGTAGGGCTGTTACTTGTGAAATATATATTTCCAGAGAAGAACCTGAGAAAGAAAGGAAATAAGAGGTGCTTGTCAGAGGCCATGTCAGAGGCCTTGTTAAAAAGCCATTCTTGTGAAATTTTGACTATTAAAGACTTTAATTAATAACCAAAAAGTTTTTTGGAGGCAGCAGCGAAACAGATACTTGAGATACTTACTGCTCAGGGACATGGAGCCGACACTTTAAATAGACCACGTTCATATGCAAAACAAACAAAAATGCAAATAAATGCCGGAGAGAGGCACAGAGCACATGACTAAGTACTACAGTTAATCAAGGAAGGAAGCAGTTTACAGAAAACAAAAAGGGAAAGGAAAACATATGCCAAACAATGAACAATGGCAGTGATGTGGCAGCTGGCATAAGAATAGAAAATGAACTGCATTTGCAAAGCCGCTGCAGAAATGTACAAAGGAGGAAAATGCAGGGGTTCCAGTTTGAATGCAAGAACTTTTGACATGAAGGGGAAAAGCTGTTTAAGAATACATAAAAAAGATGCGGCAAACTCAAAACTAAGGCAAACAAAACTATGCACAAATGGTCCACACATGATATGCAGATTAAACACGGGAACACAAATAAGCATAAAAGTAGAACCTGACATAAAGTTATTCAGAAAAGTAGAAAGATTCAGCAATCAAGGTGAGATCACAAACTTACGGAACGGGACAAAAGCCAGCCTGAGCAATTATGGACTATCCCCTAGTTACCAGGACAAACAGGAGAATGAGAGGTTTGTATGTTTATGCCAAGGCCAGCAGTCAGTCACGTAGGTGAAGTGCTGGGCCTAGATTGTCTGGGACATAACTATAACTATGGTAACAAACTTGAAGGTTTGTTCTGTGTACAGGAAAGGGTTTTCTGTGAGGACCCTGAAGATGCAGCGATGGCAGGACATGCAGTCGGTCATGTATATCATCCAAAATGTTCCATAATCCTTGGAAAAAAAACCCAACTAGTTGAGCTATAAAACATGACAGCAGATGGCATTATTAGTAGAATCAAAGAATTTACAGGCTGAGCTGATTTCTTAGTAACTGCAGGGAAGAAAGGGGGCAGACTCAGACTTTGCATTGACCCCAAGAAGCTGAACAAGAACATTAAAAGGAAACATTTCCACTTGCTCACAAGTAACAACATGTGTGCAGAGATGGCAGGAGCCAAATTCCTCAGCAAATTAGTTGCATTGGCAGGGCTTTGGCAGATTCCCCTGGACACAGAAAGCTGCAAGATTTGCATTTTCAATAAACTGTTTGGCAGATGCTGCCTTTTGGCATATGTTTGGTATCAGAAGTGTTTCAGTGCACAGCATCCCACATGCCTGAAAGGTCGTTGCTGTCGCATCACAGTGGAAATGATTGTTGTGTACTTTTCATGTGAACTTCAGACATAAAATGACTAATTTTGGGGGTGCAAGTTTGGAACGCAATCCTGGGGCCCTCCATAAAACTCCAGAATCAGAAGCAGTCTAGACTTCTGGTCAGTACAACTGCCTAGCTCAGCACTGTAAGCAGGAGAAATAGCCCAGATATAGTTACACTGTTTCCTTCTGGGAAGGTAGTCAGTCCACAGACAGCTACCTCCTGAACTGGAAGCAGTTACATTCGCACAGTGCCAAGCAGCATGATGACATCTTGTCTGCCTGGAGTCACACAGCAGTATCAGAAAGAGTGAGAGGGAAGCAGGTAAGCTGATCTGGGATCAATTATTCAGAATTGGAACAAAAGTCCTGTTTCAGAAAATCTCTGGGGAAAGAGCCCTAAAATTGGGGCTGTCCTGGAAAATTTAAGACATTTGTCATTTTACCCTGAAATTATTGAACACTGCAGCCCATCAGACCTACAGCCACTAGTCAGACAGGAGAGAACCACTAGCAACAATATTGCTCAATCAGCAACCCACTGACCAACCTGGGTTCAGTTCCCTGTTCCACCGCCGACTTGTGTGTGACACCAAGCAGGCCATCCAGGGCATGCGTGTACCCTAACAATGGCATATCTCAACTAGGATGGGCCTGAACCAACCTCAGCCACATGCTCCAAACCTGGAAATACATTGTTGATCCCCTGGATCATCCCCAAAGGTTGCTTTCAGGTGTCTCAGAGACTGAGGTCTTGGGAGTGGCTATTGGAAACAGCCTCATAGCATCTTCACTGGTGCATTGTTGATCTTGGAGCATGCATGTAGGCATTGCTGGGTTGGGTATACTTGAGGCTGGCCTGGCCATGCTGTTGCTGCCATGGTGTAGCTTAGTCTCCCTGTGCCTTAGTTCCCTGTCTGCCAAGTGGATGTAGCAGCACTTCCCAACATATTTGCACGGATCAATACAGTAAATAGCACGAAGGGCTCAGATAGTGTGGTCCCAGGGGTCATATATAAAGCCAGCAAGGCTATGAGAGTTTCAACCAGGACATGTATACTGCTCTAGTACAATGCCATCCAGTGCTACACTGGGGTAAGTCATACAAGCTCTGCACATGCTACCTCCTGACCCAGGCTTAGTGTCACACTGCAAGTGCACCAAAGAGTACTGCTGAGAGGCACTGGCTTCTCAGTGTGCACCCAGCATCCCATGATGGCAGCTCCACTATACAATGTTTAGGAGGCAGACCACGGAGAGTGGGGGCAGCATCCCTTAGCATGGCATTTTCCAGTGTCATACTAGAGCAGCTTAATGTTCTCAGAGCTAAAAATAGGCATTTTTCTGAGACAAAATTTTAAACTGAAAAAAATCAGGATTTTTTCAGTTGCTTTGAGACACTGCGACTGTGTTTTACAAACTAGGACCATGATGGCCAAACCAGGATGTTTGGTAGCTCCAGGACACCTAAGTATCACAGAGAAATATAGTGCTCCTGCTATAGCTTTCCAATGCGAAACAGAATCCCCAGCAGCTGATTGCAGACATTTAATCAGCTGCACCTCTTACAAATAGAAATATGCTCTGTGACTTTCCCACACCACTGCAATACTCATAAATACTGAGGGTCAGCTCTTCAGCTGGTATGAATCCATGTAGTGGCCTCCAGGGCTATGCCAATTTACCAGCTGAAGGCCTAGCCCCAAAAGCACTTCAAGTTAGGCTTTTGTTAGATAAAAACATGTTGGTCAAGAAGCTAAATTAGCTGAATGCAACATGGGTGGATTCCATAGGGTCTGCCCCTCTCTCACGACTCCCCAAAGGCTGAGGATCTAAGAGTGGTATTAGCCTGTTAGTCTGTGTTCCTGTTCTCCATTATCATAGACTTATTTGCCAGACACCTTCCCCTTGTCCCCTCATAGTCTTTGCCCCTCAGAGACCAATTGGCTGCCTCTTGATTTGGACTTTGCTAGCTGATTCATTGCTGCCAGTTTAATTCTGTCTGCCCTCCCTGCCTCACCAGGCTACCAGTATCAGCTCTGCCACACTCCCTTTCCTTGTCTATCTGGTACACAGTTGCTTTTTTCTGCTCATGAAAGGCAATAACTGCACTGTCAGAAACTGTTTGCCTTTAGTAAAAATCAGTCATGAACAGCAAACATTCACAAAATCTGTATGGCTCAAGTGTCATGTTAGTTCAGCTCCCATGGACTTTACTGCTGTGCACTGACAACTCCTGGATACCAAAGTGCTCCTTGTCTCGTGAATGAAGGAGTAGCAGTGGCAGACTCCCCTGTGCTGCCCTCCCAAGTTACCCAACCTTCTGCGACCACCAAGGGAAGGGAGTAAATCAGTCTCCATGCCCATATAGTCTCTGGTCTCTTTGCTGAGGCTGCCAATTAGTACCAGCAGTTTTTGTGATGTGGACACCTGTCTGCTAGGAACTGTGCTGAACTCACCAACTCATTTCACACAGGTCATCGAACAGCCACTACATGGTAATAACTTTTGGTCACTACCAACTCAGGCTGCAATCGAACCAGTGACCTAGAGGTGAAAGGCTGTATATCCCATTACCAATCTGCTAAACCAGCCCATCTTCCTATTACTGCAATTTTAATTAACTGAGCCAATGACATGAAAGCTGAAGGGAGGGGGAGATGAGCGAGGAAGCAAGAACACATTGGCTTTTACACAAGGTTTGTTTCTGCTTTCTGTGGAATAACCTTACTCCAGGCAGCACCCCACACTCCCTGTGGGACCATCACTGCACTGCAAGTCAGCACCAGACTAAACCAGTCAGGGTTCATTAACAACTAATGAGGTCTGATTCTGCCCCCCACAAGTCAATGTCATATTCTGATTGACTTCAGCAGAGTATGCATTTCACCCTAGATCTCCAAGTTATGCTCTTTCCCTGAAGCAGAATGCACAAAATTAGAAGCAGCTCCAAAATCCTGATTTGGGTTCCGTTTTTAAACATTACCCTAAGTTCCAGTGTTCCTGTGTCTGGAGCTTTGATGAGACCAAAATCTAAAAAGGGAAGCATGTCTTTGAGCATCTGTCTCAAGGATGTACTCAGTGAGCACTGAATCCTAGGGCTGGGAGAGATCTCAAGGATAATCGAGTGACTTCTAGTCCAACCCCAACCTCAAATGCAGGATATGTTATTCCAAAGCCAGCCCAGAGAAATGCCTATCGAGCCTCCTTCTGAAAACCCCTGAGAAAGGAGATTCTATAGCTTCCCTATGAAGCCTGTTCCATTGTCCTTTTGTTCTTAGTTAGGAAGATGAAATCTCAGGAAAAATGAAATCTGTTTTGCTGTCACTTAAACCCACTTCTTTATACCTTACCCTACCCTCTGTGGCAGGGAGGTGAAAAAGGCAGAAAAGAATCTTTTATGTCACTATCAGATGGGCAAGTGGTCTGAGCTAACATAAGCCTATGGAATGGCTTCATACACGTTACAACAGTTTGAACAAAACATTCGGCTGCTTTAATGGCAAAGGGCAACTCCAGCTGTGGAAATAAAATAGAAAATTGTGGCCTCTCTGTAAGGCTTTAACAACCGTGCTTTTTTTATTTCCACATCTTCCTCCTCTGCTCCTTCCAGTGGGTTTTGGCTGAAAATCTTCTCTGTTAGCTAGGACTACTGGGGAAAGGTGGCAAGCAACTACTGTTTCTCAGTTGCAATCATGCTATTAGCACCCACTGCTTCTTGTACTGTGAGAAACTTTGAAGCTTTCCTTTGGTCTCTATGTGACCGTGCAAATCACTTGAATGATGTGTGCAGCCTCTGTGGATTCAAAAACAGATGATTCTAGAGCGTGTCATGACCCCTGTACTATCTTGTCCTCTCCCTGCAAGCAGGTCCTGCAGTCCTAAGGGAACTGCCATGGCAGAATCTTGCTGAATAATGCAGATGTTAGTACTACAGCTCCAGCTCCAAATGTTTCCTTATTAGGGCTCAGGTATTAGCAGTCACCTATTCCACCTTGAGCACTGCAGTGCAATGTTCCTTTTTCTGCACATGCAGCTGACAAGTCATTGCTTTGGGCTGTTTTCTATGAATGTGTCTTGGATAATTATCCACTCCTGTCTAATCCCATAATACAAAACACAGGCAAGACCACTCTAAAACACAGCAACAAGCAGCTCCTTGGGGTCCAGCTTCACAACTCCACCACTCACAGCCTGTTCCTATCTCCAGCCGTGCAACCAGAGGGAGGGGGCAGCTCACAGCTTGATTCCAATCTCCAGCTGCCTGCAAAACTCTCTCTTTGCTTGGGGCCTCACACGCTGTCAGGCAAACCCTGAATACTGTACAGCAAGCACTCAATTGAAAGCTCTCAACTCATCATACTGATGAGTGTCTTTGATTCTCTCTCAAGCAGAGCTTGCCATGTCATTCCAGATGCTTTACATGTGTAATTTGTCTAACAGGTCTAGAAAAAATATAATGAAGGGAAACCATGGCTAAAACCATGCCTTTAATTATACCTGTGGTTAGGATGGGAAGAAAAGTATTCATCGTTCTTCCAGACATTCTTCTGTGCCTCTCTCACTTTCCTCAGACGCTGCTAGGGATGCCTCAAACCGTCCCCAGTTTCTTTCTTTCTTTCTCTTTCTATTTAAAACCTTCGTATCATTTGCTCTTTAATATTGACCAGTTTTCCTCCAGTTTAATTTTTGTCCTCACTCGGCTGCCTTCTCCCGGTTCTCTCTGAATTGTCTTTCTTCCGGCTTCTCACTAATCATCTCACAGTCCTATTTAATTTGCAGAAAGATGAACTGTGATTTTGCAGCATAGTTCCCCTGCGTTCCATGGCATCCTGGTACAGAAAACCAGAGATTCTATGGCAGTATCATTTAAAATACCTCAAAATGGAGGTTTTGGTGAATTAAACATGGGCATCATAGTACAGTTTCAGTGTGGTTGCATTGGCTGTTTATTTGATATTAAATTCCATTTATTTTATGGTCTTCAGGTATTTTAGCTTTAAATATACTTCAGATTTTAGTACATAAAATGCATAATAGCATGAGAGATGTCAGGGAGAAAGTCAAAAGTTTCTGGCACCTGCCTAATAGACAGGTCAGACTTTTGATATCTGAAAGGTGTGGGAGATTGTTTGGGATTGTGGAATAAACTTGTTAGCTGGATGTTTTTGCTAAGGTATTCACCACCTAAGGAGTTAATAATATTGGGACAGATTTTAGGTTTCAGATTCAATAAATCTGTGGGATGAATGAAGCCGTTCACCCCTCAGTGTTGTGTTCCAGCCTGCCAGTAAACTCGGCAGGACAACAATTTACACTCTGTTCCTGTTTTTAATAATTTGTTTTTTGTACCCATTATAATTAGAAAATTGTATTATACTTACAAGTGAAAGCCTAGATTTTGGAGCACATTTCTTATACAATGGGCAGCTTCCACAGCAAATGCCACAGCTGGAATCACAGAACACGGGGCTTTGTTTGCAACACCCTTATACTTCTTACTCATTTGGACAGGCACAAAGTAGCTGGGTGATATGCCAGGATACTGCTGTACAAATGCATGCCATGGAAGGCATCCCTCTTTCCTAGTATTCCCAGACACCCTCTACTACCACACATACATACCACAGACTTTCAGAAGCACCTCAGGCTCAGATCCTCAGAAGGTACCTGGGCTCCTACCAGGAGTTGGAGGTTTAAATACAACTGAGAATCTAGACCACTGACTTCACTTTGGTGTAAAATTTCATGGCCAATGCTGAAAGCCATTCACTACTGCAGTGGCAGACCCCAGGATCTGCCAGTGTGCAGAAGGAGAGTTAGTACAATGCCACTTCTGAATGCTGATGAGCAATCCTGGTCTGTGGTAGTTGGTGTCAGTTATTGGGCATCTCTACTGGGTTGGGGTCCTTGAACACGAAGTTTGATATTGCTCTTTTACAGTCACTGTGCAAAAGGAGTTTTTGTACTGGTCATGGGAGTCCATGGTGGCTCTAAGTAGCCTGATGAAGAATAGATCTCTGGAAAGAAGCTTGCATCATACTTCCATGTTTCCTTTTCTAAATTCCTGTAGGAAGTTCCTACACAAAGCCCAGTTACTTAAGCTTTGGGCTGGGAGGGGTAAAATTCATCCCAATGAGCATGAAATGATATGGTCACAAGAAGAACACAGGTGCTACCTAATTAAATGTGAGTTTCATTAACATACCTGGTATCTTGGCAAAACACAGACTGGAAAAAGGGCTTGCAGTGAAATCCCTCCATTGCTTTAACAAGTTATTTTTTAATGTTAAGATTAAGCTACTGGTAGACAATATTTCTTTGAGCATTTAACAGGTAAAAGTTTTGCACATGAATGCCACCTCAGTCTCATATAGATGGTGCTTCCTCACAAATTCCCCTAGGGAAAATGACTTAATCCTTGCTGATATTGAAAACAACATGAAGACCTAACATTTGATCAAGCTTCTAAAAATAAACCTATTACACAACATTACACTCGCTTTTACAATGATATCCATAAAATACATGAAAAGGCAGTTTGAGGATTTTCTTTTTGTGGTGCCTTGTTTGCTTCCATTATCACGTCTAAGATAATGAGTTCAAGCCATTTAAAATTTACATTAAAAGTATCTGGTCCAATGAGGGAGGCAGAGTCACTTTTATTAACTGCAACAATTTTCATGAGCTTATTTTGCATTCCATTTTTATAGTAGTTCCCAATACAAAAGGTTGCATTTCATAAATAACAGGGGGCCTACCCTCTGTTACTTTACATAAATAACTTTCACCAAAGAAACATTTGGAGTTACATTTTTGTAAACTGAAGGGAAACAAAAGAGAATGTTTAGATAATCTAATAACTCCATGTTCTTCATTATAAAACTTTTTAAAGGGCTGTGTAATGCCATTGTCTGAGTCTTCCTTTTAGACTATTACAACAGGCTGCCCTGTATAGCTCTTCAAACATTAAAACCTCCACCCAGTTTTATCACTTGCATGTGTTCTCTTTGAAAATAAACCATCAGAAAAAGTAAATGCTCTTAAAAAGACACAAATGTTTGTGTGCAGAGATAACAATGTTGTAGTGTATGTCTGTTCTCTCCCCAGAACTTATATTGCTTCTTTTAAAAAAACTTTTAAGTGAATTTCATACCTCAAAGAAACACAGACTGCATCTCTAGCTGAAGCAAAACTTGTAAGGGCTTCATGGGTGGCAGAGAAACCACTTCAACCCTTGGTTGATTCATCTAGTAAACCCTCTGCTGAAACTGCCACTTGTAGTCACTCACGGCTATAGCAGAGATTAGGTGCAGGAATGAGACTCACAATTGGTTTCAGGTATTCTACAAAAGAGGTGGAAGACAGTAAAGGTTTGTGGCAGGATTTATACTGGAAAAATGTTCTGGTACCCTACTGAAACTTTGTCCACATTCCCAATATCCATTCAGTATCCAGGACTTGCTAAATATCTGCAAAAAGGATGAGCAACTGATAAAGATAAAATTATCATTTCATTGCTAAATATCTGCAAAAAGGATGAGCAATTGATAAAGATAAACTTATTTAATTTAAACTCACTTAATTTCAAAATTTACATTCAAGTAGGATTAATCCCAGCAATCCACACCTGTCTTGTTCCATGAGTGGGCCAAATTATGATCTCAGTTATACCAATCTAAATTCAGAGTCACTTCATTAACTTTATAGTATGACTCCATTTTATACACTAGAGTAACTTAGAGGAGAAGCAGGTCTCTTCGTGTTTGCAGACTCATGCAGAAACTGCTGTATTGGCTCACATTCAGAAAGTGATCATAAAAACCAAACATGTAAATGTTTGCTGTTTGAAAATGAAAGCTTATACTCTTATTAAAAGAGCCAACAGGAAAGTGACAATGACAAAACACAGGCTCCAATCAGCCCCTGATTTTGGTCATTGCTAATAAACCCAGATTAAAAACTGTTACAAATAACATTAAGAAACTGGGGGACTGTGGTGTCGACACCTACACAGTCAAATGGGTCACCAACTGGCTGG